GAAATTGAGGAAGACATAAAGAGATGGGAAAACATTCCATGTTCATGGATTTGGAAGAATTAATATTGTGGAAATGTCAATGCTACCCAGGGCAATTTACATGCTCAATGCAATCCTTATCAAAATACCATGGACTTTCTTCACAGAGTTAGGACAAATCATCTTAAGATTTGTGTGGAATCAGAAAAGACCCTGAATATCCAGGGGAATATTGAAAAAGAAAACCAGAGCCGGGGGCATCACAATGCTGGATTTCAAGCTGTGTTACAAAGCTGTGATCATCAAGAGAGTGTGGTACTGGCACAAAAACAGACACATAGATCAATGGAACAGAATAGATAACCCAGAAATAGGCCCTCAACTCTATGGTCAACTAATAGTCCACAAAACAGGAAAGACTATCCATTGGAAAAAGGACAGTCTCTTCAATTAATAGTGCTGGGAAAATTGGATAGCCATGTGCAGAAGAATGAAACTAGACCATTCTCTTACACCAGACACAAAGATAAACTCAATATGGATGAAAGATCTAAATGTGAGACAAGATTCCATCAAAATCCTAGAGGAGAACACAGGCAACACCCTTTTTGAACTTGGCCACAGCAACTTCTTGCAAGATACATCCACGAAGGCAAAAGAAACAAAAGCAAAAATGAACTATTGGGACTTAATCAAGATTAAAAAGCTTCTGCACAGCAAAAGAAACAGTCAACAAAACTACAAGACAACCTACAGAATGGGAGAAGATATTTGCAAATGACGTATCAGATAAAGGGCTAGTTTCCAAGATCTATAAAGAACTTATTAAACTCAACAGCAAAGAAACAAACAATCCAATCATGAAATGGGCAAAAGACATCAACAGAAATTTCACAGAGGAAGACACAGACATGGCCAACAAGCACATGAGAAAATGCTCCTCATCACTTGCTATCAGGGAAATACAAACCAAAACCACAATGAGATGCCACCTCACCCCAGTGAGAATGGGGAAAATTAACAAGGCAGGAAACCACAAATGTTGGAGAGGATGCGGAGAAAAGGGAACCCTCTTGCACTGTTGGTGGGAATGTGAACTGATGCAGCCACTCTGGAGAACTGTGTGGAGGTTCCTCAAAGAGTTAAAAATAGACCTGCCCTACGACCCAGCAGTTGCACTGCTGGGGATTTACCCCAAAGATGCTGATATAGTGAAATGCTGGGACACCTGCACCCCGATGTTTATAGCAGCAATGTCCACAATAGCCAAACTGTGGAAGGACCCGCAATGTCCTTCAACAGATGATGGATAGATGTGGCCTATATATAATGGGATCTGACTCAGCCATTAGAAAGGATGTATACCCATCCTTTGCTTCGATGTGGATGGAACTGGAGGGTATTATGCTGAGTGAAGTAAGTCAACTGGGGAAAGACAATCATCATATGGTTTCACTCATATAGGGAATATAGGAAATAGTGAAAAGGATTATAGGGGAAAGGAAGGGAACTGAGTAAGGAGGGAAAAAATAGAGAGGGAGACAAACCCTGAGAGATTCCTAACTTTGGGAAACAAAGGGATGCAGGAGGGGAGGTGGGTGGGGGGATGGGGTAACTGGGTGATGGGCTTTGAGGAGGGCGCTTGATGGGATGAACACTGGGTGTTATACTATATGCTGGCAGACTGAATTTAAATTAAAAAATTTAAAAAATAAATATAAAATTTAAATATTATTTTAACATGGAATGTGAGATGAAGAGGTGAAAAATACTTGAATGGATACATTTTCATTAACTAAGCATTCTGATGACTAGAGATATTAATTGTATCCTTCAACTTATGTCTCCTAACCCACTTATACAATACTGCTCCCTTCATGTGAGTAAGCCATGGGCATTGCTGAATCTTTCACCCTAAGCGAAGAATTCATAAATAATTAGATTTTACTTGCCAAAGTCAAGTAGGCATTACCAAATGAATAACTGCAGAACTATTTCCTGGAAATGCTGATTTCTAGCAAATATGCCTGTATGTACTTGTTTTTGACCAAATGATAACCTTCTTCCCATTTACTGACCTTTAAAATCTCTTTCCAGGTTCCTGCCGGTTTGGTAAGAAGCCTTTCTATGATGTACAACTAAAATGATGGAGAACCCACCTAAGGGTGAAGGCGAGGCTGAACAAATTCTGGGAGTTAAGGTAATTTGCTATCACACATCCAGAAAATAGAGCTCCCTAACCGGGTAGATCAAGACGTGAAGTATCGATCAACGGGCAGTAAATGTGCAGTGGCTCATCAATTCTGCTCGATGATCCTGAGAAGAAAGTCATGTTTTCCCTTCTATTTTGGAGATGGGAAATCTGGAGCTCTGACAACAGTACCTGGCTGGGGGCACACATGTGGCCAGTGGCAAGGTATGATCTAACGAGGTTCAAGGTGTCACTGAAACCACGTGATCTTCCCCCTTTGGTGTCACTAGGAGGGAGACTCCTTCATTACTCTGCATCGAGCACATGAACCACTCCCTAAGGGAGGGCAGCCAAATAGGATTTCACTGATAATAATAGCAATGATGCTACTGTCACTGCCCCCTTACTGGGTTCCTAGCTAAGGACAGCGCTTGGGTCAATGAGACGCCACACACCTCTCTCCACATCCAGGTGTCTATCCAGATGCCTCATTCTCTCTACGGCAGAAGAAAAGTCATGTTTGCCTGAGGAGCCCCATAGGTCAGAATGAAAGCATCGCAAACCTGGCCTCACGTGGGCATTTTCGTGGTCTACTGATGGGGAATGGTCCCTAGCTGACACTGCACCAGGATGTGCTGAGATGTTCCCATGGGCAGCATGGGGTGTGACAACGGGCCAGGCAGCTGTGTGGGCTTGGGAGCCACTGCACTGGCATTACTTCCGTGGTGAAACGACAGCTTAAATTAAATCATCACCTCTATAATTTGAGGCCTACATCAGTGATTCGATCTTTGGCAAGGCACCGCAAATCTGACAGATACGTTACGAAGGACCTACAAATTACGAACTCTTAAGACTCACAGATAATTTTGGATTTGAAAATTATTTCTGAAATGCTATGTTGCTGAAAGTGTTGGCGTTTTGCATTAAATAGCTTCACAGTTATATATGTGCAGCTACTATGAGAAGAACAAACTGTCAAGTTAAGATTCTAAGATGATGAACTGTGTTTACTTTTGTCTTAGTCAAAATGTCATGTTAACACCAGATCTGATTCATTCCCAGAGTTTCACGACATCCGATGCTGCTGACCACTCCTTCCTTCCTCCACCACCTTCTCTTGACTTTTGTGACGTGGTCTCCCAGTTTGGTCTGAAGTCTCCATCCCTCCTCTGCCTCCTCTCTGAGGGCCTCCTCTGCCCCCTCTCTGACGGAGGCTTTCTGGCACTGTTTCCTACACAGTCCACAGTGACCTCATCAACTCTTGGGGTGCCAATGACCTCAACCTTCACCGCCACCCAGATCTAGAGCCGAGCTTCAGACCTGCCCATTCCTTCACTTTGGATGAATGTTCTTGGGTGACCCACCTTTCCCCCAATACATGCTCCTCCTCCAATGGATCCCTGACCTGGGCATGAGTGGCATCAGAACTCACCACTGCAGGAAGCTTTAGCTTTAAAGAGTTGCTTCAACACTAGATCTGGGGCCAAAAATCTAATGGCCTAAGGTGCTAAACAAGTGACATTCATAACAAAAGTAGTGATGGTGGGAGAGCGACTGTGGCAAAACTGAAGGGTACAGACCAGGCTACACGAGGCAGTTAATGCTTAACTTTAGCAGACTTAAGCCGAGTGGAATTGCAGGCTCAGCCTGCCAAGTGGAGGGCTTTGTGAAAGGAGCTAGAAATTTGATTTCAATATGAAATCTCTACATTTTTCAATGTTGATAACCAATAAAATTTAAAACAATATGGACCCAAAAGATGTTGGTGGGCTCTTATTTTGCAAGCTCTGTTTTAAATTGATGGTTTCCAAACAACTTTATTCAAGAACTATTTTTTTTCAGCAAATTAAGTTTTACCTAGTCCAATTTAGCTAGTAACCACGATTTGTGTACCAATTTCAAAACTTGCACTTCTTCATCTTTGCAATAGTGTGTATATTGTAAATATCCCAGGCAAACTGACTGCAAAACCAGAGAGCTAAAAAGATTTCCCTGACAGCTAGTTAGTCAGATAAGATCCTCTTTATTTTATCAGAAAAATGGTTCAGATTGTAAAATACTCCTAACAATCCATTGGTTTCTGTGATATTCCATGATGTTAACTCAGGCATCGTATGTCTGAATGTGTGAATTGCTCCTCGCACAGACTGAAGGCAGAAGGCTTGGCCTCCCTCGGACTGGATGCCTGACTCCAGAGACTCCTCAGCCACCACACCTTCGCTTGCTGATTAACCAGCGTAAATGCACCAATTTCCACCACACCCGACTCTATCACCTACAATAGATCGAATCCATTTCTCGGGTGATTTCAAATTCATGAGTTCTGCAGGACAAGGGCCGGTGCTTTTTCCTCTCAGCCATCACTCTCTTCCTCAGCCTGTGGTGTGCTTGCTCTCACCATACGTTGAATCCAGTTACGTCTTTTGAATACAAGGTAGTAAGAATGTTGAAAGAGCAGGTAAGAAGAGGCGTATGATTCTGTTGGAAACAGAGTGAAATTCCCTCCACGGATACGGGCATATATCAGTTGTGTGTATGGTGTTGCTTTGGTCTTCTGAACATATGGACTTGAGAACAAGCTTTGGATATTTATTATTCATAAGTAGAAGGGCTTCTATACTTGCAAATGGTAATGACATTCGTGGTCAACCACGTCTGGCCTTAGTATCTTAGGATTTTCTTCCACTGAATGGAGATAGCAGGAGAAGCCTCGGTGCTCGGTCTGCGGTGTTTGAATTTGGTGTGTAACACATGTGATTGCAAATCATGCACCTTAAAGTATAGAGTTTGTTGAAATATGAAAGCATATGTAAAAGTGAACACTCACCGATGAGATACATGCCGATCCAGTCTCCAGCGTCCACCTCTTCCTTGATGTCCCAGTGGATCACCAGGTCCTGTGAGTGCCCTATGGAGTAGTAGGAGCTGCTGACCATGAGTGTAGAGCGGCTGTCTGAGGTGACCAGGTCGGTGTCACTGGTGGAGCGGGGGATGGTGACGGTGCCATGGGGGCCGTTCCGAATGGCCATGCTGTGGAACTGGCCGGGGTTGTAGCTGTGACGGAGGGGCTCCTTGCACCGGCGTCGATTCTGGGAGTTTCTAGATGGAGACGCCATGGCGGCCAGGCCTAAAAACCTGTTCTGGTACAGATTCTGTGGGGGCAAACAGACAATTAGCGGGGGTGGAAGATACCAGCTATGTAATCGCGGTCTTCACAGGAAAGAAGGATGTGCTGGGAGAAGAAAGGAGCTGTGAGTGAGCAGCCCGCCAAGGGAGATTTGAAAGAGGACACAGAGCATCTTCCTCAGGGTTCACACAGGGAAGGCAAGCACAAAAATGCCAGCTCCTCAAGGGGCCGTGCATTTCCACGCTCTGCTGGAGTCTGTTTCGCCTTCTCCCTCTAGCCCGTGGGTCTTAGAAGGGCTCAATGGCTCTGGTGGTGTGACTGCCCCAAACGAGCTGCCATCTCTTGAGAAATCTAGCAGCAATTCAATCGGATCCAATTTTATCTTTTTTTAGGGTAGATTATGATTATGATTATGATCACTAACATTTCAGAGATCCTTGCAGCATTCAAGACCCCCGACACACAGCCCAGAATTATAGGTGGCTGAGCCTGCTAGGCCTCCATTACCACTCTCCACCCTCCAGAAATCTCCAGCCATCTGAGATTCCCATTAAGGACCTGTTCCAATCCCTTACTAATCTTTGAACACCATAATTTTCAACAAAGTCCAGTCTCAGAGAACTATGGCTCGGAGCCCAATGTTATTGTAGAAACCATTGTATCTGATGAAAAAAAATGCATGTTTTTTGTTTGCGACATTGAGCACTTATTATGAGCTGAGCCACTGCACAGCAATAGCTGGATTGTTTTGGATACAGATGGCTTTTAAAACATGGGTGGGGGGGAACATCATATCGAACTTGCACAAGGAATTCTTTTTTGAAACAAGGAAGTGTGAATCTGACTTCATCAAAGTATATAAAAATTGGAATTTAAATATATAATTTTGAGATACCTGGCTATAAAAGTACATGCCATTCTACAAATAGGAACACTTTTGTTTTCAAGGAGAAGATTCAGGGGGTGCCTCGGTGGCTCAGTTGATTAAGCACCGGAACCTTGATTTTGACTCAGGTCATGATCTCAGGGTAGTGAGATGGAGCCCTGCATCGGGCTCTGTGCTGTACATGGAGTCTCCTTAAGGTTCTCTCTCTCCCTCTCCCTGTACCCCCTCCTCACTCCTGCTCGAACTCTCTCTCTTTAAACAAAAACAAAACAAAAAAACAACCAAAGAGAAGATTAAGGCCTGAAAATGTGTTGAGTCATGCAGTTTAGATCCCAGGGCCAGTTACTTATTGCACACATCAATCAACTGCAAGTTATAGACTTTCTGTTTACTGTCATGAGGCCCAGGCCTCAGCGGCAGTCTGCTCCTTGGATTACATAAGTCTGTTTAGCAGGCATTGAGGCCTGCACTTTTTCCATCTTCCAAGACTGGGGCACTTGTAAAAAGTCCATTAACCTGATGAAGCACAGTGTTGGCATTCTCCATCTCAGTCCTTAATGGCCATGTGGCAGGCCTGTTGGTTCATTATTTGAGTCTCTTGTTAGGAATTCCTCAGGTCTCCCTGGCGGTAACCATGGCATTACTATAGCCAGAAAAGCCAGAAAGCATCTCATCGCACTATTGGTACCATATGGTCTTTTATTTTATTTTTTTAAATGCTTGTCATGTGACAGTATGAACATGGACAGACCACGGTGTCACCTGGATAGGCAGAGCCCAGGGAACACGAGCCGCCCATGCACCTCACAGGCACCCTGGCTCTTCTGAGCAGTTCACAGGGGACATCCGTAACCTGGCCATCCTCCAGGGGGACTTTGTCCAGAGACCTTTGGAACATCTCCAGAAAAGAAAGGCTGCTGCTAGAGCATAACATTTCTGCAGTTTACACATGCTTGATGTGGACTATTATGGAGATTAAAAACAACTGGGAATTAAATAGTCAAGCTTATGATTGCAGCTTAAACCAAAGCTAGTGCAGAACCTACCAAATTCCAACCTGTGCATCCCTGGACATTTTACTTAATCTTCCTGGTCCTCAGTTTCCTCGTTTGTAAATGAGTTGCTGTCATCACTTAATGAGACAATGCAAATTAAGCCCTAAGCATAGAAAATACTCAATAAATAAAAATCTACTGCTAATATACTACCGGTATTGCTTTACTAAGAATGCTTCAATGAAACATAGGTCCTGGGCAGTTGGCCGGGCTCACTCACTGGCCAAGGGTCCCCCCACATCATCCCCAGGGCCCTCATACTTAATTCCTTCTGCAACAAACCCACAAATCATTTCTAGTCATGGTCCTGCAAGTTGTTTTTCAAAACTGAAATTCCAAGCATTAAACAGTCCAATGTATTTGTAAAGGCACCCTATATACCAATTTTTTGGAGAGGAAGGCTCCCTTTATCTGTCAAGTTTGTGCTTGAATAGGATATTTTTTGCATTAATGTTGAGGCTTGAGGGAATTTTATTGATATACTATCAGCTGAGCCCTCAGAAAAAATTATAGAGTGCTTTTCTTTTGTTGAAGACACTTCTGCTGTGGTATTTTTATTAGAATTCCCTGGAAACCAGGCAACTTTCCTGAAACTGTCAAATTACACCAGTGCTACTGTCTATGTGGCATAGAAGGAACCATTAGTCAAGGAAAACGTCTGTCAGTAATTTACTGGGTTGCAATAATGGCATTTGCCCGGAATCAGTAAAGCGGCCTAAAAGCTGTTCCTTGAAGGCTGCGCTCCCCACCCTCCCCACCCTGTCTTTGTCCACACCCTCTCCATTTGTACTTGCAGGGATTGTATTTCTGCTTCAAGATTACGCCCCAACACCAACTCTGCTATAACCTCCCCTTGCATCTTTTTCCCATTCCCCAAAATGTGGGCCTCGGCTCCGTGATCCCACAGGAATCCCTGTCCCCTGCAGAGATGCTGACTGTATTATGGCTAGTTGACCAATTCACACACGTCCCTTTGCAGTGAAGACTCAAAGCCAGCACTTCCTGCTCCTGGAACTGGCATGACTCCTGGCATCAAAAAAGGCCCCTGAAGCTTTAATTAATATGATTTATTTTATTCAATGAGGTCCCTTCTTTTTGCAGAAGGGGTTTAAGTTCACTATTCAAAACAGATAAAAGATGGAAAGACATAAGTCAGTAGATAGTGCAGAGAGAAAAAGAGACAAAAGTTATGTACAAAGGCTCACCTAAAACTATATGCCATCGTGTCCCTAAACTGGTATTATTGTTAAAGACTCACAACAGCTGCCTCTTGAACACAGCAGGTGGATAGCTGATCCCCAACGTGCGATTCCTTTGTGGCTACACTTTCCCGGGCCATTCACAAGGGTTCCAAGCTCACACTATAGACTCATCCGGCTGGAAGAAACAATTTAATCATTCTCCGTTCACATCTGAACTGCGAGAGATAGAGGAGGATCTGTCCTGCTTCTAAATAGCCCTGGATAAAAGACCGCTCTCTTCCAAGACAGTGATTCCATTGTTGTACAACCTCAAAACTCTTCCTAAGCTCTAAGGCAAATCTCGTGGGACAGGGACCTGCCTTCTCCTTCCTCCCCGCAGAGAGCAGGAGTGGCTTTCCCATTATCTAGGAGGAGGAAGTCAACAGTATCACTAAATTGCTTCCAGCTTCTTCTCCGTCCCACTAAGTCATTCGAGGGTCTTTTATTTTCCCTTACCTGGGTGATGGGTAATAGACACAGATGAGAAACCAAGAGAATATTAGTAACAGCTTCAGTGACACTGGGATTTTCCAATTGTTTGTAATCAAGGGTGTCTACTTGTAGACTACGGTAAGCACAGATTGTAACTGACCCCCGAAAAAGCGAATCCAATGAGTGAGCCACTGAAGACAATCTGATCACATTGTGACCTACTTCATAGGGAGGAGGATTTGCTTGCTGGCTTGTTTCCTACTTGCGGCTGAAGATCCAACAATGATGTTTTGTTTATCTATTTTGCTTTCCAACTGAAATCACTCAAATTGCTAAAATGTTTTTAATTAAGTGATATGTTCTTGGATTGTTAAAAAGTCTTGGAACAGGTCTTGCACGTTTAGTGCTTTAAGTTATTCTTATGCATTAGAGTATACTGGCAAACATAAAACCTGTAAGGAGATGGAATCTTAAAAGAAAGAAATCGTCACTTCTAGGGAAGGGACATGTTATTTTGGATTTTATTTTTTTCCGGACACAGGGAAACAAAAGATTCTGCCGCCTCAATTTCTAACTGACAAAGTCATTAATGGCTTTTCTGTTTTGGAATACATAAAGCTGTGAGTGAGTACCAGCTCAGAAATGAAGAGAAAGTGGACAAAAGCCATATCTGTAATAGAGAAAATGACCCTTAAAAATTGCCTCCACACTAAGAAATCAAAAACAGTGAGTGGATAACACAGGCCCTGAAGGAAATCTCATTAAAGTATATGAGATGAGGTTATATTAACTGGCATTATTTAGCTGAAAGAAGAGCATAATAGTTTTTGAGTTCAGGAACAGATTTTATTTTGAGCAAGTGGATGCCTTAAGCTTTTTTATCCTACACTCATCTCTGGTTATGCCATCAGAGAGGTAATGAAATAAAAAAAAATTGCATGTAACTTGTCTCTTTCTACAATGGATCTGAGAAAATTTACAACTAAAGAAATGTACAAGGAAATAAGGAAATAGAGACCAGACAAAATAGGAAGTAGCAATACAAAAAAGGATGATGATTCTGAGTGTTTAGTCTATGCAGGGAACTTGGTGCATTATCACATTAAAAACCCATCACGATCACTACTCCCTTGGTGAAAACCCAGCTCAGGATGGTGGTTCATAAACATTCCCGAGGTCCTCCAAGAAATTGGGATTTGAGCCTATTCTGTGTGATTTTAAGAGTGGCCTCTTAAGCACTGTCTCCAAATTATAACATGGGCAGATGTTTGCAGAAATTGATTCAGATACTCCTCTGATCTTCTTGAAAGCCAGGAATATAAGGAAAGCATAGTTCTCATGATCAGAATATAGAATTTTCTTCTCCCTCCAAGTTCTTAATAAAACACTTCATTTTAGACTTTATCTAGAG